AAAGTTAAAACTAAAATTAAATAAAAAAAAAAGTAAAAGACAACAATAAATTAATACCACTTATATATATATATATATATATATATATATATATATACACGACTGAGTAATTTGTAAGGTATAAATTTAAAATAAGCGTCACGTGACTATGAATAACCTTGAGTTACAGGACTGGCTATGAAAAAGTTTTCCTACAATTATACAGGGTGTACCAGAAATCTGGATCCATAGGAAAAATATACATTATATTCTTAAAGTTAAACACATTTCTAATATCAGTTGTACATATTTCAGGAAAGAAAATTCCCTGAATTGATACGTATATGGCTTTTGATGGCATGAAATTTGAATAAAAAATAAGCCAAGAAGAAATTGTGTATTTTTCTCTATGGGTCCAGACTTCTGGGACACCCTGTATTTTGAATACGATAAGAAATACACTAACAACAATTTAAGGTAATGTTAATTATTCACTCGTGTTGTGTTGTGTCCAAAATAAATTAATAAATAAAGTATTATTCAAAAAACAAAAATACACAGTCCATGCAAGTATACTTTTATTTAAACTGAACTTGCTGCCGGAATTTTTAAAGCAAACACATTTTACAGATATAATGCAATTCCGCACATTTACATCACCATAAAAGTTAAAAAAAAAGCAAAACGTAATAAACTAAAAAAAAAAGAAGGAAAATTGTTTAATAATCATTCATTCATTTGCTTTTAATCACTCGTCGATTCTTTAATAAATACAATTTTCTACTAGACGGCTGATTAAGGTTTTCACTTTCTCTTTTCAATCTTTAATTTTCATGTAATAAGACACAGTTTCCATATTCAAGTTATAAATATCCATGTAAATGATAGTTTTTGTTATCATCATATCGTGCATACTTGATGAAGTCTGAACAAATGGATACTTTGGTTTAGAATTGCCACTATTAAAACGAGCACGACGAACTCACGTGCGAGACACGTCCCACCATAACAGTTTGTAAATAGCGATGACATTTTTTTTTATCAATTACTAAATACATAAGTAATGTAAAGCATTAATAATGTTAGGCCTTTAATAACCTGCTAAATTTACTACACAATGGGCTAACTGCTTTCTGCCTACCGCACGTATCGAAACCCGATGTTTAGCGGTATAAGCCCTCGGACTTTCCGCTGAGTCACTGGGGGCAATTGAATGTGTAATATCCCGATACAATTTCCTTTTACCTTTACTACATAATAGCAAGGCGATGGCTTTAACACATACAAACGCAATACAAGTCTATACGTTTTGAGTTGAATCAACGTGTTGACAGTAATATAGGAAATCCCGCATACGACATTGATAAACAACTGCCTGAAAATCGGTTTCACTGATGAATATGAAACGGGTAAAAAAAGTTTACTTTATCCGGCTATGGAATTTGGTTTATGTTATAATCATACATCAGGGCTGCAACCAATAGCATTCTAGACTCTCTGTTCATCGTGTTCCTACTTGCAAACAAACAGGTAATTATTTTCCCACTAAACTCCCAGAGTCATGGCCAGTAACCGGGACAAGTTCTTACTTAACAGATAGCCACATTTTTCTACGTAACACCTACTAAATAAAAAAAAAATACAAAAACGATTTGATTTCACTTAGTCAAATCCTACTCATATGTACAAGGTTATCTACCATCACACATAAGTAATGTAACCGATTTTTAGGCCAAACTTCGTCTGGTTCTTACAATATAGGCCAGTGAGTCACTTCAAACAAACTTCTGGTTCTTACAATGTAGGCCAGTGAGTCACTTCAAACAAACTATTTCTGGTTCTTACAACGTAGGCTAGTGAGTCACTTCAAACTAGGTTAGATGAGAAACTGTTCCAGACCACACAAACATTCATCAAAACCACCCACAACAAGGGGAGG